TTAAGTAAATTTTGACTTTTCAATATGTGCAAGGATGTTATCGATACTTCAGAATCCCATAAAAGGTCGTTGTAAAGATATATACAAACAAACCTGGTAAGTAAACGCCACTATGCTTTACAACGGTACCTATGGACATTCAATATAATCCGTGTTCTTAAAGCCGATGAATTAAAACATCCTTCGCTATCAATGCCTATGATTAACAACTTGTCAGGGTATGCCTAGCCTGTGAATATACAAACCATGATTTGAGCTATTTATAGTTCTAGCTAACTAATCTTGATGTGGTATGAGAAAGAATTTCAAATATAGGTTTCCTTTTCATCTAATTTTTAGTATTTTAAGCTATACAAACAATCAATCAGTACCATTTTTAAACAGAAAACCCTTCCTAAGATTTTTATTCCAGTTATTTTATTGCTACTATAAATCATAAACCAAATTTCATAAATCTACCATCGATCATTTCTAAGATAAAAAAAGCTGATATCTTGCTAGCACGGTGTTTTAAGAAAGAATGTTATTCTTTGTTTATTTCTATTTTGACCCAATAAACCTACTCCTGATTTCTTCGTTGTTTTTACTCACGGTACACTCTGTATATTAAAAACCCCACCATTAAATACCTAAGACTAACTATCAACAGTTTGAATCAAAGGACATACATTAGCGTATGTTCATTTGTTGTTGTCAAAGGACATTAGCGTATTGTGTTTTGGGGCTCTGAAGACATCAGAGGGAAAAATAATTTGTCCCGGGTAAAGGTCTTGCAACGAGACCTACGGTAATAGCTTATTCACTATGGCGATACTCACTATCAAGAAACATAGACATACTGAATACAGTCCGAATATTATAATTAAATAATTATTGTTCTTTTGTTTATTACTTTCTTAAATATGCGTGCAATCAACTAGTGACCGTTGTCGTGTTTGACATAAGGAAATTCTTACTTGTTGTTTAAAAAAAAATATAATTTCTACCTTTTAAGAAAACCCCTGAATCCATTTTATGCCTGCAGTAGATAATGTTTATTAATCGGTGTTAAATTTTAAGGAACTAAATAATAATACCCCCGCCGCAGCAAACCTGCCGTCTAAGCGAATTTCCATTTGGCCGAATTGATTTTCAATTGATCTATTTAAATAACATTAGGTTTAACGAGTACCTAGGTTTGCTGCTACAAGGAAACTAATAAAGTAGTGTGTTTTTAGTAAAATATTGATAGCTTACTATAAAATAAATAAATTTGCCAAGTTTGATCAAAATATATCCATAAACAAGCAAACTACAACATTTTACAATATTCTCCATAAGAATAACATGGGAATTTTAAATGTACCATTTTTTTAGTTTTCTCCGTAACCAATAACCGTACAAAAACACTTTGATATACTGAATTGTTTGTTTTTTTAAGCTCTTTAAGAAGGTTTAGAGAAAAATTGGGAAATTTTGTGTTTTGAGGGTAAAAAGTGAGAAAAACCAATTTTTACCCCATAAAACCCTGTTCCCATGGTCCGATCATGCTGGATCGCGAACTCATTCAAGTTTATCCCGCCTTACACCTTCAAACCAAATTTCATCAAAATCGGATAAAAATTACTCAAGTTATCGTGTTCACGGACACATATATATATATATAAATCTATATATATATCTATATATATATATATATATATATATGCATATATAAAAATTTGAACGAATGGTGTTTTTGGCCTCTGGGGACATTAAAATGAAAAAGTAAATCGGTCCCGGGCCTAAGTCTTACCATGAGACCTACGGTAATAGCTACTTCCCTTAAAACCACTCTTAGTTAAGTCATGACGATGTATAATTCTGTCTCTGCCATGTAATAGTACTTTGTGACAAACTCAGTGTTTTTCTACGCTTTCTTTTCACCCAAACTAAGTTTACGTAAGCAGAGAATTATCTTAAAGTGTAATCGCACTGCATTTGAGGATAAAATTTAAAAGAATAACATAGAAAATCATATCATATATGATGCTTACATGTATTTGAAGAACTATATGAATTGTATTTCTCTAGTATGTCTCCTCCGCTTATATCTTAACGAGATAATTGACATATTATTCAGAATTTATTCGTAGATACCATTTAAAATATTAAACTTCATAAAATTATATTGATATACAATGAATATAATGAATTTTTACTGTCAACTATTAAAGGCCAAAACCGTAAGACAAAGCTTAGCAAACTGTTATAATAACGTGAACAAAGCATCTACTAGTATGTTAAAAGAGTCCAATTAATTCAAACGCTGCAGTTATCGCGGTAATTGAAAACAGAAATGTAAAAAACTGCAACTTTGAAACAGTTTTATTGGGTGTTTTAGAACCTAGGATATTGAATAAAAATATTAATTGCTTAGTCCAAACCTTTGTAATTGATTTGCTTGATTTTTTTTTTTATAATTGCAATGTTATAATATTGTGTATAACGTGTATATACCGTTTGTGTTTAATATTTTACGATGACGTGTGATTAAAAATAAATTAGCTATTTAATGATTTAAATTAGAATACGTTGTTTATTTATTCTTATCTTAAGAATGATCGTGAAGTAAAATATAGCTATATTTTTTATTAAGATTACTATAAAAGAGAAAAAATGGATCATTGAGAGCACTAGTAAAATATTTCACGTAAAAAACTATGATAATGAGCCGCATATTTTAGGGATGTTTAAGAAACTATTAACCACCCTGTATTAGTTACAGAATTGTTGCAATCATAAAGGAAAACAAATCATTTTTGAATTTGTAAAAAAATGGCCTAATAAAACAATCATGGAATTAACAAATAACAATATGCTTTCTGTCCCAAGTGAATCACCAAGTCAACATTACAATCATAAAGGAGGATGAAGTAAAAATAAAATAATTACCGTACATTAGAAAAAAATAAAAAAAAATAGTGTTTTAACAGCTAGAATACATCTTACCAACGTCGTGGGAATGACGTTATACAAATACAGTTTACAAATCGATCCTACAGGCTGTGGTAGTTGCATGATTTGATGCTATTTATGTCGCTTGACGTCAGAGGACCTGTTGATGTGGAACGAGTGAATAAACCATGTTGTAAAGTTACGTGCAAAGGTAAACTATGTTGGGGCTGATGTCCGTTTTTACGAAATAGAAAACAAAACATTCATAAGTTAAAAAGACTTAATTGTGTTAATGATTTTGTGTTACACAAACAAAATATAAGTTTGGTTGAAATTGTCCTACTTTAATATCCGTAACTAAATTACTCCACCCTAGAACTTTAGAAAAACGAAATCATGAAATCATAGGCATGGGAAACTAATTCAGTCATCATTTAAATATGAGGCCAATTAATCAATCCCGTTTCCTCCTTCCTTATATTACCTTGATACTGGCCAAAATGATCATTTATAGCTTGCTATGACTAGAGCTGTTTCGTACTTCGGATTGAGCTCATCATCAGGTCAGAAGAATTTCAAGTCGTCATTAATATTATAATAATTTTAATTATTTACCATTGTTAATTTAGACAATCCAGAGGCCATTCCATCTTACAATATATTATTTTAATCTGTGTATGGATTGGTTGTTAGTCCATTGTTAACTTGCCATACAAGCTTATTATTGGGGTTTATCTTAACGATTATACCGTAATACTATTAAAAAGATTACCTCTTACTATAACTTTTTCCGATTAATCCATCTTATTTATGTTATCCTTTGAATTTAAAGATGCATTAATGACTATAAATACATCCACTTTAGTGTTTTTACATTCAGTTTCATGAACAAATAGAAAATTCCTTTTTCAAATATTTTATCTCATTACGTAGGCAGCATTGTAAAATGAGTATGATGAATATATGCAAATTTATCTATGTACGATGTATATAACTAACAGACTAACCACTGCACTACCATGACATGTGGTTTGAAGTGAGGTCATGACTGTGTAACCGACGGAAACCTTGCTTGTTATTGTCCTAGGTCGTCTATTACTTGGCTGATTAACCAACGTTCAATACCTATTGCAATTTACCTTCGGGAGCCAAATAAAATGTTCTAATAGTTACATTCGTTGACTTGTATTTTCTTGTAAAAGAGATTTTTATGCCAATGAAAATTGAAATTGATATTTTTTTATGTAAGCCTAGTCATTTTCTAATTATTCGATAACATCAACAAATGTTCAAATATCATAATGATATTGACGGCTTGGACAGAATAATTTCTAGCTGTCTTAAAAAAATCAAAATGTAAGATGATTTGAACGAGCACAATTCAAAACTTACGTATTTGTAATTAGAACATACGAATTTGTACCAAGCATTTGTATAAAATCTTTCAGTATTTTAACGAGGGTGATTTTTTGTGCTACGACAAAGCTTTTCAACAAAAGCCTTAACGTGCTATACGATAGCTGTGACCCTCATAATGTCAGTTTAATAAGCTAAATCTTTTACATGTGTACTGTATAATAATAATAACTAGAGGTCATCCAGTGGTCGGAAACTTGACCAAGCATATGTAATGTACAATCATCACATGATCATTGACGCATCAGAACATAACAATTAACATTTTCTGTAGAAACATAATCTCACAAATAAAGTTCGTGTAACTGTATATTAGTTCACAGATGTGTATTGGTTGTTGATATAAAATATTGTCTTGTGCGTACTACCTTTTCTAGCAATTTCATAACTGATGTAGTAAAAACAGAGTCGATGAATAATGTATTTGTATTATTACAACGAAAATTAGGCCCTCAGTCATTGTAATATTAGACTTTCATTACATTATTAGATATTAGGCCTTATTGGACTTTGATAACGTACGGTATGGGAAATATATTATTCATTGAATAATTAAACATATTTTGTAACTAAAGCAATAGTTATTACTGTTTTTACACTCATTACACTCATTGCACTCATTAAACAATGTTAAATGCTAAAAATTTCTTTCTATTTATCGCAGATTGATAACAATTAGCGTAAGCTTGAAAGTAACCGTCGAATTTTACGGGTTTCACCTAGAATTTATAATAAAACTAAGCACTAATAAAACTATTGCAATAATGATATATATTATCATTCACCATGAACACTAAAGTACAATCCAAATCCTCCATTTCTATCTCTTGTTAACCAATCCATCCAAGTGTTTCTTAAAATCCGGATACTGTTGCTGTCCGTCGGCTCTAACGACTGTTTTGATTTGTCAAAGTCCAGTCGCAGTTGAAACTCATATTTCCGAAGATATGAGTTATAAATCACTCTAAACCACACTTCTTCGTCCTTAGGCCTCCTTGTAAGCACAGCATGACAGGAAAACGTAATTACATCTTTACAAATCAATTTTATCCACATGAGAGATTTAAAATTCCCCATACACTCGTAGAGAGTAATACCAGTATACTCTGAGTCTTTGTTAAATGGTTTATCACTGTAAAATTTATGATATCCCGAAGGTGAAAACTCATAGATATCTGCCCTTTTGATGCAATGGTTGAAGTGTTTCACCAACTGTCGGCAAGATCCTTCCCAGGAGCAGGACCCGAGTTGACACTTGGTGCTTCTGTAGTCACAATAGTCCCCGTGGTCGTCTTCTATGGTGACCATAGCTCTACAGAGTTTGTTTTTACATTGATTAGGTGCGTAACAGGTCTTGCAAAGTAGGACTAAGTTGTTTTCAGAGGAGAGAATGGCTTCTTCAGCTATGATCCCATGACATTTGATGCATATTCTCTGTCTTTTCCTTGTTCGGTTTTCCAGTTGATCTCCTATGAACATGCTCCAAATGTTTGATTCATCCTGAAAAACATGTTTTTCTGTAACTACAAGCTGTACAAGGAAAATGATAACAAAACTCCCTATTGATTTTACAAAATATTCTAAAACGATTTGAACTGACACTTCATGATCTATAGTGTAATATTTGTAGCTAATGCAATCCTTACAATATCTTCAAAATACAAAATAATAATCTTTGATACGATTAGTACTCTCAAATCTTATATCAATATTGTAAGCTAAATAATTAGTGTCACTGAATTAAAAATGCTATACGGGTTTGGACTTACTTCAAATAACTAGAAAAGTGATAGTGAAACATTACGGTAGTGCAACGACAGTTTCTATTGTGTTTTCATAATAAGGATATTCTGGAGTATATTATAAATAAGTTAAATATAACCCTTTTCCTACAGTAAAATATCTTTATCGTTACTAGGCTCTCGAGATTATTTGTATCCCAGCATATTAAATATTTTTCAGAGAACAGGTTAAATAAATCTTCTGAGGTAATGGTGAAATTTAAATATGAAAAACAAAATACTGCATCATCACTAAAGTCCTATCCAGCTCATTCACGTAAATTGTGTATTCGGGATGTTAAAGGGAGTGTAGATGTCTTGTATGATAGGAAACTATTTGAGAATAACCGTAAATACGATAGTATATATCTTCAGTATATGAAAAGGGTATGCATACGAATTAGTTTTTACTATAGTTGTACAACATATTTAATAATTCATAAAACTTCATATCCGTTCACAAGTATTCAAAAACTGTTTCGCAGGTTTTTCAGTATTTGTTTACTGCATTTAAAAAGTCTTGTTTTTGAGTAAGGTTCAATAATAAGGCTACGAGAGGAAGTATATAAAAATCTAAAAACTGCTTTCACGTCTCCAACTATTTACCATTGTATTTCTCTCAAAGGGTTTGCAAAATACGTACACAAAATGCTAAACTTTTAGTGTGTCGACTTTTGCATATCATGTAAGTTTTGATTTTCTTATAAATAGAAAACACCAATGGATATTATCACAAGTACACAAAATGGGTTGGTTCTTACCATGACTTCATCGGAGAGATTGGCCAAATGATTGTTTAAACAGTGTTGCGTGATTTGTAGTAGTCTTGTCTAAGATTAGATACCCAAATCTTAGATCTCCTCCAGTGCTCCTTCAGATGACGCCTATTGGTAAAACACAACATAAAATTTAACATAAGGTTCAATAGTTTTGCAATTGTATAAATAAATATGTTAAATGTTAAAATATTTTGCAGCTAAATCCAATGAATTATCATAGTAAAAGAATTGCCATATTCAATCCATCTTATATATTTATCTTTTTTATATATTTTAAAACCCCTTAAAAACCTCCTTCATTACTTTGACACCATTATCAGACAACTCATCTTACAACCCCTCTAACCAACAAATATAATACTTGTGATTGCACACTTTAAACTAGGCCTATAACTGAAATATTTTCAAAAGTTAATTATTCATAGACATTCCCTAACTGTAACTAGATGTAAAATATGCTAAAAAAAATTAGGTTAGCAAACCTAATATTTGAGGTTGCGGAAAATATATTCACATAAGTGGTACGATTAAAAATTAAAACTGTATAACGAAAAAACCACACATTGTTACACATTATGTTGTTGAAACTTAATAATACCTTAATTACTTGTTGTAACCAAAGAACGAAATAATTTGTTATTACGTTACACTACTCATAGGAAAGTAAAATGTGTGTATAAAGCACGTAACATGATCATGTAAAGACTAGACGTACATTAGGACCGAGTCTCAGTGTTATGCATTATTCATCAGCTAAAGACGGGGTTTGTTTATCGGCTCTTCTGAAGTCTTTCCTTAACATCATCTTAGAACACTTTTAGTTTGTTTGAAATTTCCAGTCTTAGCTGGATTTGTACCTATTTCAATCAGATTTTGTGGCAGGAAGTCTAGCCAAATGGCATTTTTGAAAATGAAAGTTCGTCAATTTCACGAGACAAACAATATGATGAAGATTTTAAATTAAATTAAAAATCACTATGCCAAGACCAGGTTTTTTTATACTGATTGTTACTTTAAAAGCTACATGGTGATAAAAAGTTATAAGAATGCCCCCGCCGCAGAAAACCTGCAGACTAAGCGGATTTCCATTTGCCTGATTGGATTCACACTAAAATGCCTCCTTAAATATATCACATATATTCCCTGTTTAAATAGAATTAGTTTAACGCAGTACTTTGGTTTGCGTGTGTTTAAGTGATTTTTGTTGTAAAATGTGTATTGTTTAGTAAGAAATTAATGTATTTTCCGTATTCGATCAAAATATGTTTATAAACAAGCAAACTAAAACATTTGACTTATTCTCAAAAATAATAACATGGGAATTTGTTTTTATATATTATATTTTTATATTATTTGTTTTTCAAGCTCTATAAAATAGTTTGGAAAGAAATTGCTAAATTTTGATTTTTTTTAGGGTCAAAAATGAGAAAGAACAATTTTTACCAAATAAAATCCCGTTCCCACAGTCCGATCATGCTGGTTCGCGAACTTGTTCGAATGAATGTAGGTTTACACGTTTTTACCAAATTTAATCAAAATCGGATGGTTTTTGCTTGAGTTATCGTACTAACGGACACACACACAAATATTTACGGGAGGTGTTTTTGGCCTCTAGGGACCTCAAAACCAAAAAATAAATCGGTCCCTGGTCCAGGTCTTACCATAAGTACTATGGTAATAGCTTATTCCCTATATGGAAATTCGCTAAAAACGATATCCATTAAAAATTCTTCTTCTTTCTTAAATTAAAATTCCAACTACAATCATTAAGCTTTGTTTTAATTCCAAAGAAAGATTCAATTTGTTAGCGTTATGTAAGCCTGAGGAATATTCCGTTTTTAAAATCAGTTGACTTCATAGCCTTTAGCTAGTTGGGCTTTTATCATTGTTTCCTACTTCGTTGCTTAGTCCTTCATTGTAGCTTGTGTTTTATTTTATATTGTAGTCAAGACGGAAAAAAGTGACCAGTTTGTAAACTGAACAATAACTAGTATTAATGCAGTGTTGTCTAGATTTTTAATGATTGTATTTTAAGGTTCACAAAACGAAATTCCAGTAAAATTAAACTTATCTGTATTGGAGAGTCCATTGGATAGCAAACTATCTGTTTTATTTTCAGACCTGTACACTACCTTGTAATATCTTTTCTTCAATATGTACGCAAATTTGTTGCTTAGGTGGTTCCTTAGGTGGAATTTTGTTTCTTTAACTCGGGCGGAAAGTATTACAAAATAAATAAAATAATAAAGGAGTCTTTGGGTTTGAAAATTTTTTTTCGAAGTCTTATACCTGAGTACATTCTATAGGCTAGTAAAAAAAACTTCCGCTTTTGATCTCCATGGGTCACTATAGAGGGTTCTGCCTCTTTATTGTCTAATTTTTAACTATTGTAGTTTTTTTTAAATGTACTCCCGAATATTTATGAAAGTTATTATATTTGTACTGAATTATTTGTAATAATTATTATTGATCCAACCTTAAGTAATCGTTCTCTAAGTATAGAGTACTTGTGACTTTTCCAAAAGAACCGTACCTTAGTCTTAACCATGTATATTGCAATAAGTTGTGCAATAGTATGGAATCGCATTATGGCTCTTTAAACGTCAGCGAATGACGTACAAAGAGTGGAATATAGATTTAAAATAATTGTAATGTTGTAAAACTGATGTTTAAGCTATCCACGTTATGATAAAACAAAATTCAATTTCTCTAAAATTCACATTTAAAATGTGTATTTTATACTAATACCGATATATGATTTGTGATAACTATTACCAAACCTTCTTCAAACCATTAAGTTATTCCATAGGTGAAATAAAATTTAATTATTAACTATTTGAATAACCTTTATGCAATTGGTGAACCTATAAGATAAACTTTCGTTATTAATATACAACGTTGTAACCAAGCAAACATCTTTTACTAAAATTGAAAACCGATTAAGAAATTTGATTTAAAAACGTATAGCTATTATCTATCACCTACCTAGCCTGTGAGATAACAAATCCCACTACACACTCACTGACAAAAGTGATTGAAGTGGCTCACGAATCAAGAACACGTGGTTGTGAAAGTAGTGGGGACATCAAGGGTTTACGTCACTTCCGCAAGGTCATGAATCAGTGTTGCCACTTCAGCAAAAATTGTTTACCCGCCAGAGTATCTCTTGTCTCCATACTGGCTCCATACCAGGATAAGGGTATTTGATTTTTTTGTAGGAATTTCAAAATCATATTCTTACAGTTTTATGTCTGTTCAGCATAGGGTTTGTATGGACTGCAGCCGGTTATGTGGCTACAGAAGTTTAAAATGTAGATATATACATAATTAAAGTATATATTTCTTATATTCATTTTATTTGTTTTTTTCTGTGGTTTCTTAAAATCATGCGATATTTACTTAATTCATTAATTAATACCATTTTTAGCATTCTTACACAAATTTTCAAGTTATACAATATTGACTAAGAGCATTAAAACCTGAACAATATTGCATTTTATAAAGTAAATGTATAACGAAATACAACTCATCAACACCATTTAGTTGCAAATTTAAAATATATATTATGATTAAGATTCACACTATTGTGTATTTGACAAAACATTGTAGTATGCTTACATTAGGAACCACTAGTAACAATAACAATAGCCGTTCTAACGGAATGCAGTAAACATGCAAGTCAAAATTTACCATAACTTTAAATTTAAGTTGTATTCAAGCTTAAATACAAATATTTCACTACAAAGGTAACAAGTAGGCTATTATTTAGTGATTACAGTATAAGAAAACTACATTTTGTTTTAAATCAACAAACTTATGCATATTACTTTGTTCTTAAACAGAAAGTAGTTCTAACTGTGTTTAATTTATACAACAATTCAATAATTGCTACCTCCAATATTAAAGATTTTATAGAACTTTTTGTGATCAGTATTATAAGGGTAGGATATATCTGTTCTTATTAGCGAATTTCCCTATAGGGAAGTAGCTATTACCGTAGGTGGCACGGTAAGACCTAGACCCGGGACCGATTTACTTTTTCATTTTGATGTCCCCAGAGGCCAAAAACATCATTCGTTCAAATTTTTATATATGTATATATATATATATATATATATATAGACTTATATATATATATATATACGTCCGTGAACGCGATAACTTGAGTAATTTTTGTCCGATTTTGATGAAATTTGGTTTAAAGGTGTAAAGCGGGATAAACTTGAATGAGTTCGCGAACCAGCATGATCGGACCATGGGAACGGGGCTTTACGGGGGGTTTTATGGGGTAAAAATTGGTTTTTCTCACTTTTGACCCTCAAAACACAAAATTTCCCGATTTCTCTTTAGACCTTTTTAAAGAGCTAAAAAAACCAAATAATTTAGTATATAAAAGTATTTTTGTTCGATTATTAGTAACGGAGAAAATTAAAAAAATTGTAAATTTAAAATTCCCTTGTTATTCTTATAGAGAATATTGTCAAATATTGTAGTTTGCTTGTTTAAGGATATACTTTGAAAAATTTATTTATTTTGTACTAAGCTATCAATATTTTACTCAAAAACACACTTTATTAGTTTCATGTAGCAGCAAACCTAGGTACTCGTTAAACCTAATGTTATTAAAATATATTTAACTGAAAGTCAATTCAGACAAATGGAAATTCGCTTAGTCGGCAGGTTTGCTGCGGCGGGGGTATTTTGTTTATGTAAATTGTTACATTTTGTACATTGATATTAGAGGTAACCAACAAAATTGCTTTAGGTCAAGAAGTTTAGAAGAAATGAATATCTTATTTCATTACTGCTTTTTATCAAACCAAGATAACTTTTTTAGTTATATGCTGAGTTAATCATTTATGAACAAACAATACACAGCCTAATCTACTTAAGTGGGACAAACTTTTACCAAAAGTTGCTATGTTTGTTTGTGGCTTAATTAGATAAAATATTTCACGAATTGAGATCAACAACAAGATACATACTCAGGTAAGATAACGTTTAGTCAAGTAATTGAATCATCAAAATTCCACAGGTACTTACAACTACTTGTGAGTCGTAACCTAAATAGAATATTCCTCGTCACTTAACTAAAGTGGTAAAGTTAC